TAGTTAAGATATATAGATAGATAACTTTTCGTTCGTACCTGTATAAAACTACTGAGTAACAAAATATACATTTTCGATGCTTTTTACGTAAAAAAGGTCTCTTGGTAAAAATCGCTAAGAGTAATGGTTCTCGAGATATTTGGAATCGAAATTATCAATACCTGTCATCACTGACATAAATTAAACATGTTGAATATATAAATAGTTATTAGACTGAAATCATAAATTTGAAATGTTTTTGTGCCATTAAAAATCCGAATGTGAAGGACCAATTAATGTTTTATTTATATTATATTTAAATGGGTTGTAAATCCATTGGGGCTGGTTCTGGTGTTTTATTTAGTTTAAGAAAATAAGAAGAGTAATATTTAGGTAAATTAAATGTTAATTGAGATACTAACAAAAAGAATTATTGCGGATGTTCGCCTACCTTATTTCCAAGTCAGCTCCTTGCACGTTCTTGCACTTTTTCGTGGATAAAAAGTCTATTTAATTTCTTCGGATATCGCGATACAGAAAAATGACCAGTTGAGTCTGCGGCGGACTATATCGAAGTCACACTCGGAGTCGTAGTTTACTGCCCGAGGCGCAATCGCGTAGCGGGCGAACATTCTTATGAACAAAAAATTATGCGCGAAATTAAATTTATAAATGAATAGTAATAAAATACCGAACAGAAGCAATTCAAAAACGCGAGAAAAATAAATAGTTTTTAACTCATCCTCGCTGTTAAAGTATCATTTAATCTACTCTTGAGGTTAAAGTACTACTTTATCTACTATTTTTGATAGATATAAGGCAATTCTTAACAGTTGCTATGGAAAAATAATGAATTGCCCTGTGTCTTTTCTAAATAGATATGAACATGTTTATTTATTTTTTTTCTTCTTCATCTAAACCCTTCCACAATCTATCAACTCCAGATCAAACCGCATCGACAAGAAGAAGGTATTTTTCGAGCGAATCCCACCGAACGCCGTCGAAAATAAATCATGCACCGCGTACACTTATTTCATTCTTGCGACGCGACCGTCGATCCGTCCATCGTCTAGAAAAATGTTTTGATTTGTGCAAAACGGTGGGGAATCTGAAAATCGAACGGCATATGTTTGATAGACGAAAGAACAGGCCACGTTCGTTATTTCTTGCTCGTCTGCCCGGCTCGGGATGCTTTAGAAGTTCCTTGGAATGGAAACATGGTAGCTTGTTATGTTGTATAGTGGTTTTTGTCGTTTTTGATTTATACATTTATCAAGTAATGGGAGAAGATGTAAAAGTCAGGCAAATAATATTAAAAAATATAATAAGATAAATCTTACTGGACAAAGAGAAGGTAGACAAGATATACAAAAGAGATGTAAACAAAAAATCTACTAGGGGTTGCCATTTATTTATTATAAAAGATTATGAGCGAAGATTATAATAGAGTATTTCAATATACAAGTTGTGGAACGAACTGTATTTCGAAAACTTCAGATAAAAAATAAGTAAAAAGTTCGTATAAATGTATGTCCTAAAATGCTTAGTTTCGAGATACAGGGTGTAGAATTTTCATTTTATTTCGATTTTTTCCAAATAATTTCTGAAGTACCTAATATTTGATCCGAAAATATGTCTGGGAGTTTTTTTGACAGTGAGAAATTTGATTTTTGGCGTCAATATGTATAAACTAATGGAAAAATATACATTTCCGTGATTTTCTACGTAAAAATGTCTCTTGGTGAAAATCGCTACGAGTAACCGTTTTCAAGATATTTAGAATGGAAATAGTCAATACGTCAATGATAAATACATATACATATACCGATTTGGTCATTTTAGAAGTGTGCGTCTGGATTTTAACGTGTAAGAGAGAGAATAGTATAAATGACCGGTTGACAGACAGAGAGACAAAATCAAAAGCGACAAACAGTGTTGCCGGTTTCTACGTTTTTAGGAAAATTTGTACAGAGAAAAAACTATTCTAAAAACTTTCATGTATACTACTGAAATGAAGATAATATATCTAAGCTAAATACAATCTATAATATTATAATTGTTAAATTATAAAATTAAATTTAAAAATAATTAATATTTAATTGTTATTATAATATATGACTGAAATTATAAATTTTAAACTTTTTATTTTTTTAAATTAATCATAAATTGTGATAAACAGTTTCTGTTGAACTTTTGGCACAAAAACATTTCAAATTTATTGTTTCAGTCTAATAACTATTTCGTTAACATGTTTAATTTATGTCAATGATGACAGGTATTGATAATTTCGATACCAAATATTTCTAGAACTATTACTCGTAGCGATTTTTACCAAGAGACCTTTTTTACGTAAAAAACATCGTAAATGTATATTTTTTTACTCAGTAGTTTTATACAGGTACGGACAAAAAGTTACTACTCTTCAAATCAGTTAAAAAATATGTAGGCGGTGCCCTCTACAAGTAGGGATCACATTCACCTCGAAATCAAATTTCTCATGTCAAAAAACTCCTAGACACCAATTTTCATCGAAATATTGACGTTACTTCAGAAAATATTTGGAAAAAATTGAAAGAGAAATGAAACTTCTACACCCTGTATCTCCGAAACTATGCATTTTGGGACATATATTTATACGAACTTTTTGACTTATTTTTATCTGCAGAATATGCCAAAGTTTCCGGAATGCAGTGTTTGTATAAAAATACTTAACAAGTATCAGGAAGACAAACCTACCGACAATAAAAACCGAATCTTGAGAGACGTTTCGAAGATTGCACACGGGACACAAGTACCAATTTAATTAAGCAACGACTGGTTATGACGCGCGGCATTATTAACGTGAAACGTAATCCTAGACCATCGTAAATTGCGAATAATATTACCCGGTCTCAGCTCTGGAGTGGATTCAGCTAACAAGATTCTCCCAACATCTGAACGTTACATCTGAACATAAATTCAGCCGGAGTGTAAACGCGTAAGGGCTCTATTAAATGTGTTTAAACGGTTTTACGAGGCCCGACGCTGACTTTGGACGATAGTTTCCTGTTAGATTTAATCTGGTGTCGTCAAAGGAAAAAGTTGATAAGTCAAAGTACGTCAAAGTATTTCCAACTGTTTCGTATAAGAGAGAATTATGATTTTTTTCCATAGCAACTGTTAAAATTGTCTTATATCTATCAAAAATAGTAGATAAAATAGTACTTTAACCGGAAGGGTAGATTAAAAAATGATACTTTAACAGCGAGGATAGGTTAAAAACTTATTACCTATTTCTTCACTGATAAAAAAAGATGGACTTGAACTAAAGTCGTCATCGTTCTTGAAAAAAAAAAATTTAGTGGCAAGAGAATTTATTTTAGCGTAAAAGAAAATATTTTGCCTGAAGAAAACTCTTCTTAACTCAAGAAAACTGATTCTCTTGAAAAATTCGAAAATTTCTCTTGAATCTATTTTCATTCAACCAAGTGCAAGTTACTTTCTTTAAGATAATAAGAAAATACGCTAGGAAGTACTTCATTCAAGAAACATGGCCATTTTTCCAAGAGCTAAATACTCTTTTGATGAAAAATAATAATAACGACACGCAAAGACAATGACGAAGGACGGTATATACAATCAGTCGGCAGCCTGATCAGTCGTACGTCGCATTTCATAGGTCGCATCATAGTACGCACGGGTTTTGTTGCTTGAATTTTCCACTTGGAATTTTGCATAATTTGCTTTTTAAACGCATATCTTATAACAAATTAGTGATCGTTATTATTATGCACTTGTCATTTTTTATGGACAAATTTTAGGATATATGGATTCTTTAAAGCAGTTTCTGAGAAAATGGAAATTAGAGCATTTATTTGCTATATTTGAAGGTAAGAGACATTTACCTAATGTACCTGTTTAGATAATGCATACGTGACTATAGATAGAATAAGAATATAGGTTTCAATTTTTATGCAAATAATTACAAAATTTTAGAATTTCAAGTCATCGTATTAAAAAATTCAAAAATGTGACCAAAGCTTACAATTTTAATAATTTATTTACTTTACTTTGATTAATCGTGGTGTAACATTTTTTTGTAATTTGTAGAGTGATGAACCACCCCAAAAAATACCAAGGAGTGAAGAAGCAGAAATAACTACCATCGAGGAAAATAATATCACTTTACTTAATATACAGACCAGGAAAACCTAAATTTATCAGAAAATAATATACCTCGTAATATGCCTGTGTATGATGTATAGACTTCTCTTAGATCAAAATAAATTTTAGTTGAGTCAATAGTATGCGCTATTGGTTTAGGAAAAGTGTCTCTTTAATCAAGAAATGTCCATTTTCAATCAAGAATTTTTGCATGAATCAAAGAGACTCTTGTTCTTGTAGCAAGAACTTCTTTGCCTATTCATTTTGGGCCAAGAGTGAAATACGTTGGACAAATAGATTCTTCTATTCTCTAAAGTAATTTTTTAAAGCTTATGAAAAGATAGTTAATGCTTTGGGCAAAGAAACGTCGTTCTTGGCCCTATTGAAAAGCGCCAATCTTTTGGGTCAAAGTCATATTCATTTCGACTGAGAGATCCTTTTTTTCAGCGTTCTCGCACGTTTTTTAATTGCTCCACAACATAAATTATTCGGGATTTAAATGGAAGTAGTTTGGATATGGCGTTTATCGCCTCAGCCTGAATATCTGTTGGTAATTTACTTATTTCGTTTTGAGCCATTTCTGGCTCCAATTCAATCAGCAATCGACACGAAAGAGAATTAAAAAATATTGACTCAAAACTAACAACTAAAGAGACAGCTTTATTTATTTGTCAAATTACATAGAAACCAAAGCCAACCCAGCACAATATTTTTTCCACCCGTTTTAAATTCCTTTGAAATAATAATTTCTGAATATTTTTAAAACGGAACTCGCTATGGAAAAAATATTGTTTTATACAGGACGATAAAATTGCATGTACCATTTTATCATCTTGTATAAAAATAACTATTACCTACTATTATTTTACCCCAAACAAATGGGATCATTTAAAAATTCACATTCATCAAAGAAGAGATTAAAAGAAAGTTTTGTTCTCCTTTTTATCCTGATCGGTAGCCGTCTGGCTGCCTGTTTCACAGGCAAAGAAGCCGAGAATTTTGTTGTACCACCGACCACAGATAATATATCGGACGTACAAGCACAACCACACATCGCATACTTATCGGCCTATACGGCGACCAACGAAAAAGCCGATGCTCTATCTTATCGATTGTACGTCACTGTCGTCCCGGGCCCGCGTTCGCTTCACTTGTCAATTAAGATGACGTGCCGCGTTTTAGCCCCACTAACTGTCACTTGTCATTTTTTTGACGCTTCGGCCCGGCGAGCGGGGATTAGTGGAGGGACCGAGGAGAAATTTGAGACTGTAAAATGTTGTGGTTTGTTTTTTCTTCTCGGGAAGCGTTTTGTTTTGTCTGATCGTGTTGTTTACATTGTTTTTTCGGTGTTAAGGTATCGTATGAACGCAAAAATACGTGTATGTTTTGAGAGCGTGAACCTACCCAAGTAGCATTTTCACGACCTACGACCACATGTTTACTAAACACAACGTTGGATTAGTTACAAAAATAGTTAGCTGCGTACCTTGGGTATTAAAATAAATGTAAACGTTGTTGTAACGTTATGCCGACGTTGAACTAGTACTACAACAAATTAAAAGCTTCTGCGACGTCGAATAAACGTTGTCTTGTAACTTTTTTTGCTTAAGTGATCTTTAGGTGATTCGGACAACGTAGATACAATCTTGGGCAATAAAGAGTTTTCCGACGTCACTTTCAGGACCTATTCCAACGTTATGCAAACGTCGTCTGTTTTACTAATTCCAACGTTGTTTAGATTTTCTTATTCTTACGTTGGTAGAACGTCGAGCCACTACCTTTTTGCAACTGTATTGAACCATAACCCTAAATCTTAAATTTTCACTTCATTGTTCTGTTCAGTCAGACAGTTCAGTGCTGTTTTTGTTTCTATAAAAAAAACTTAATTAAAATGGAACGTAAGAAAGGCACATATAAAACTAAATTTAAATATATATCGACATATTACCGATACTTTATCCACTCCCTCGTTTATTTAGAATATAGAGGGCGGCACAAGCTAGACTCTAGGACGACTAAATTAGGCAATCTTGCGACTAGTATACTACCTGTTAAGGCTGAACTGCGACTTTATTAGTCCAGTATGCGACTACTCGAACTACTCCATCTTAATCTCCAAAACAACAAAGTGAAAGCCGCAATGATGTTGAATAAAAAAATGTTTCGTTCCTAAAATAGCAATTCCTGCTTTTTGAATACATTAACTTGAAATATTTGACCCTAATCAATACGCGGAAACAATTTTTTTTCGACTGCGAATAAATTATTCTCATTTTACTAGAAAAAAAAATTCAAGAAATTTTTTAAAACTTCTTTAATTTTAAGGCCCATTAGTATTTTTCAAAGTAGAAACAAAACATTTATCGATAAAGTTGTTTGCGTTTCACTTTTTTGTCTTGGGTAACGAGTTACAGAGTTGGTTAAAGTGTTTTAATAATTATGATCTTCAAACATCCTCCACACACTTAAATACTTTTGTTTTGTTTTCCTTTACTGCCATCTGGCCTATATCTCTAACTAAATCATAAAAAATAATATTTTTACTATAATTATCCCAATTTAGGATAAAACGTGACTTAGACGCCATATTATTATAGTTTTGTATTTCTGTGAATTAGGATTGTAAACAACGTTGCAGTTTCTACCAAATTAGGCTGCTAGCCAACGTCGGTATCCAACGTCGTTTCGACCCAAAAATTATTCTCCAAACTAGTGCAGACTAGGCTTGGCACGAGGTTGTGACGACGTTGCGCCCCGACGTTTGGTCGCGTGACACAACGTTGTCCCGACGCTCGACGTCCAAATGCTGCTTGGGTAATGTTGTTTACATTTCGGTCTTTGCTCAATTTAAAAACTTCCAGTAAAGCGGGCCTCACACGGTCAGTATTATTGACAGTATTTCGGAAAATTGAAGGTAATATTGACCGTGTGGGGGCAAAAATACTCATGGGACTGTCAGTATACTGATACATACTCTATTTTTTTTTCTCAGATATGATTTCGACAATGACAAAAAAAGCAGATGACGTCCATACCAATCCATTTATTTCTCTAAAAAAAGTGTCTAATATTTTTTAAGTTAACTATGGATGGGTTTAAATATAAATCCGTCATGCGTCGTCTCTTGTTGTTTTTAATCAGTTTTATTGGTTTATTTCAATGCGTGTCAAATACTCGTCAGCGAGTAATGGCGGTATACACTACTGGCAAAGGAATATTAGCAATAGGAGGTTTTCAATGCGATAAAAAAAGATGGTAAGGCTGCAAAATACACTGCAGTGCAACAGAGACGGATAAAGTGTCTTTTCCCTACCATCGTATAGATGAAGTGATCATAGAAGTGATACGACGAGAGAGCCCCTGCGAGAGGGGGCGCCGGGCGGGTCTTTAAGACGCTTGTGTGGGGGCTACCGCCTACTAATAGAACAGAATCGAAAAAATAGAAACAGGACGGACTGTGTTGCCATTCAATTAAATCGAAATTATGTTGGCTTGTCAAAATCCTAAATCTTCTAATCCCATTATCTTGCCTACTTAATGAAATATTAAATAAAGTACGAAACAATTTTACGAATGTTTTCTCTAGGCACATAACTTCTTTCTAAAACGAAAAGTAACATGCAAAACTTTGATATCATTTCTAAAATAGCAAGTGCAATTCTATGAAATGGCAATACTGTACGATCTTCCTAGCAGTCGCCCCGACACAGTCGGTCGGCGGCGGCGCTTCACAAAGCCGCGGCTGTGACAAAGGAATTAGGCCGAAAAAAACTTTATAAGGAGTAGACGAACAGGGTTGCCGGGTTTGTTAGATTATAATTCCATACGAGAACAAAATTCTCGGTAGATCTTCAACAAAAATTAAAAGTACAGAAACGAAATAAAATATAATATTTAAGTCCAAAATTAGCATTCCTATGTGTCGTAATAATAGATCACTCAAATAAAATACAAATATAATAAATATAACAAGAATTAGAAATAGCTAGGTATATTATTTAATATTAAAAAAAATATTGAATTAAATAATATTAATATATTAATAAAAACATATAAAACTATAATAAGTAGGGATAGCAGTCACAAATTAGTGTAACAGTCACTTTTTACCTTTGTACAAATTTTGATCAGTGATATCTAAAATTAATTTCATTTCAATGGGATAGCTGTAGCAACTCTCAACTTTTTTTTTCATATTAATATATTTTTTTGACGGGAAAATCACTAAAATATTTGTCCGAATTTAGGTTGTTTCTTAACTTAAATTTTGTTTTTTGTTTACATTTTTTGGGGGAAAATATGGGTTCAACTTTAGTAGATGAATGAAATAAAATCTTTTCAAAAGATATCAACTTCTTCGGGCATGTCGCCAATACCGCGCCTAATAAGGAGTAATAAGGAGTAATAAGGATTTTTAGGAATATCTCTGTAACTCTGCAACTAGACAGAACGATGACCTGTATGTGTGTTATTACTAAATAAAATTTAATGAAACAATAATAAAGTCAAATTATACAGATTCCAACACGGCAGTCGCTTAATTTTTAGTCAAATAAGTCAGCTTTTTATAAGTGCTTCTATTGTAAAAACTAAAGACGCAGTTGAATATATCGTTAGATTTTTCTTTAAATCGGTAGATCGGTAGCTTACAGACGAAACCGGTAGACCTGGCAACTCTGTGATGAACTGACGGGAGTCAGAATAGCGAGGTGCGGAGGCGCGGGAAGGGAAATAAAATAATGGCGATAAATAAAGGGCAGGGAGATGGGTATCATGAGTGGATGGGAGGTGGCAGAATTTCCAAAATTTGTTATCTTATTGGAGTTTGTCTAAGTAGACAGTCGTAGTGGAAGTGGAAACGGGGAAGTTGTTGTCCATCTCTGTTTAAGCATAGACTTTTTATAGGCGTTTCATTCCAATACATGTAATTCCTATGCCTAGAGATCCATTGCCGGGCATGTATGTATTTATTTACAAGTTAAGGCTCTTTGTTTATTAATAAGGATTTCATTTCCTGACACTTCCAAAAACATGTTAAAATACGCATAACAAATTCTAACCATCCCAGCGGTAATAATTCCAAAATAACATTAATTAATTCTATATAGAAACCTTAGAGAAATAAACAACTACGTCCAAACTAAACCACTAAATAAAAAAACATAGAAAAATTATAGGAACAAGATTAAAGATACGACAAATTCTTAACAAGATACAGCGTGCATCAAATCAACTGACATCAAATTAAAATACAAGAAACAGAAGAGGTAAGGGACCCCGCCAGCAGGCCAAGAAGTCTCTTTCGAATCTTCCGTTCAAAGAAAAACGAAGAAAAAAAAACACGAAGAAGAAACATTCCCAAAGTTATCTAAGTAAAAAATCTGAAATATCAAATGGCCTGCTCTGTTCGTTATGTATGCGCGGGCATATCACAAACGCCGATTCCTATCTATTGAAATAGGAAAGGTTCTCTCCGCGGTTCATTTTATGGTTCTTTTGACACGCTGATGGAAATAAACAGGAAAAAAATATAGAAGGATTTGGTCCGAAGGACATACACACTCGATCGGGCATCGTTTTGACCATATGACAGGTTGAATTTGGAGTTGGTAGGCTAATGAAGGTCGACTGTCGGTTTATCTAAAATAAATAAATGGCAATCTAGCATTTCCTCCCATTAATCGGGAAAATTTAATAAACGATAGAACTTGCAAAAATAAAACAAAAAGTTCATATCAACTTGTGAGATTTAAAGCTTCCTGTTCGAGATACAGGGTGTTAAAGTTACTTAAAAAAGAAAAAATTAAGATATTTGAAAAACGATTTAATCGATTTTGATATAACTTGACCCGTTTATAATACTTACTATGGGACTTAATTTGATGTAATTAGATTTAAGTTTAATGGACAGGGGCGGCGGTGGGGCATCACTGTTAAATTATTTTAAAGGAATAAATAGGCACGCCACTGCTTTTTTAGAAGTTCAATATTATTTTTGGATTTAGTATTTAAAAATATTATTTTTTTGTCTCCTGACTTTTTTGTCTATCTTGCTTACTTCTTGCGAAAAAAAATCAATTCTAATTGGCAATTAATATTATAATTGGTATTCTAATGGTACCCTGTATCTCGAAAAGGAAGCTTCAATTCTTACAAGTTGATAGGAACTTTTTGTTTTATTTTTGCAAGTTCTATCATCTATTAAATTTTCCTGATTAAAATCTGAGACACCCTGTATATTGGGTACCTTTGGTTTTTCCTATAAGTTTTTAGCATTTATAGGTGCCCCCCAGGTTCTGGGGGGAATCCCCCCTAGCACTTGGCTTGGTCTAAGAATCTAAGAAGCATCTCACTCATCGTCTTGTCCCTGACTGTAGTGTCGTGGCCAGGGAATTGCACCAAGACATATAACGATACCGGGCGGGGCTACGGACAGCCTCAACCTTGGGGCACCGGCGGGCACCCCATTGTATTTTACCTCTTACTTCTACATGCGGGGCTCTGTAGAAGTGGACCGACTGTCCCTAGCGACTCATAGGAACACTATGAGATCTGGTAATAATAGTAATAAAAACATCACCGGTGAAGCTGTGGGGAAACCCCCTAACGACATTGGGAACAGTAACAATGAAAGTTCCAAGGGGCCAAACCCAAAGAGAACTACAGGAGAGGTGGCTGACACTTGCGTGAGACCATCCTCCGCAAGTGGCGTACAAGCTACTACCTCCTCCAAGGGTCGGGAGCCTACCTCCACCTCTAAACCCAACAGGCGACACAAGCTACCGTTTCGTGTACCCGGCCTGGGTCGTAGCTCCTCGACTGTGAGGGACACGGGTCTCCGTAGGAAGTCCTGGGACTGTATGACGAGTTATAACTCAAGAAAGGGGGATACAATAGATCTCTAAGGTCGCAGAGATTAATAGAATAGAAAACTCCCACTTATTCTAAATTCTAAAAAATTCTACATAGAAACCAACGCCAACCCAGCACAATATTTTTTCTACTCGTAATAAATTCCTTGAAATAATAATTTCTGGATATTTTTTAAAACGTAACTCGTTATGGAACAAAATATTGTTTTATACACGACGATAAAATTGCATTATCGTCTCCCGAAATTAATTCACTCGCGATTTCATCGCTCGTGAATTAATCTTTTCGGTGCGGTCGACGATAAAATACCATTTTATCGTTTTGTATAAAAAATAACTATTAAACACGCATTAGCGTTGTTGAGAAATAATAAATAATGTAAAAGTTTTTCTAACAATACAACTCTAAATATTTCTTTATTTTCCAGGTTAACGATACCAACGACAATCCACCGGTGTTTCTGGAACAAGCCTATTCCTTCGACATTCCAGAGAACGCAGTGAGGGGATCCAGAGTAGGTCAAGTGAAAGCCACAGATCTGGACTTGGGAATAAACGCCCAATTGACTTACACGGTCATCAGCGACTGGGCCAACGATGTATTCTCTCTGAATCCTCAAACGGGAGTGTTTACTCTAACCTCCAAATTGGATTACGAAGAGGTAGGTTTTTTCAACCAAACCAAACAGATTTGAATTTGATTTGAAATATTGTGGGTTTGTCAGTCTTTACTGACCTTATTTTATGTTATTTATTATTCCTTCTTTAATCTTTTTATTCAAAGATTTAGACCAAGATGGGATTTTGATGACCCTTGCCTTGCTAGTTCATCGGTTTTTCGTTACCTTGGATGCCTCTGTGGTTCGGCACCTAGAATAATTTAATGTTGTTGTGTTCCTTTATGCCAGAGTTACCAGTTTACCCAGGCAATCTCAGACTAAGTCTCGACGATTAAAATATTTGAAAACCTTGGTAATTTCTATCAAACAAAATAAATTATCCAGTTTTGCAGTCGGTGATTTTATGACTGCAGATTAAAGAATGACACCAAACTCTTTTTTGGAAAACTTTTGCAGAGAAAAATGTATAGACTCGACATTATCAAGCAACACTGAAAGTTACCAAGAGTATATCAACAATTTCCTGAATCCTTTACTTGTATTATCATCAAACGATGCATGTTCACCCTGTATACGAGGATTCTGTCCCTGCAAAAAGTTACCAGACTTTATTGCGACCATTTACCGATAGCTTTGTCCTAAACGCGCTTAAGTACTTTCTAGTTTTTGCCGATGCCAACGGTCGAAACGATTTTTTCTTGCTCGCTTCTGTTTCACCTCTCGATCAGATCCTCTTCGTCTGTTGCAACCGATCGGAACGTTCACTTTTTCCATTTACTTTCGACGCAAAACCGACTCACCATTCGAAAAGAATCACTTGTTGAAAAGATATTAAAATTATATTTTATAAACTTAAATTCTATGCAACTGTTTGTTCTATACACTCGTCGGTTTCTGATATATGCTCACAATTCATGAAGCTATCAATGATTTTGGAAGATTTGCTCTATTTTTTTAAATTTTAGTTCTTATTTTAAAAATTGTAGTAGTTCATAATTGGTTTTTCTCATAGTACAAAAAAGTTTTTCGTAGGAAAACTTATTACAGTTGAGGGTTGGAACCTTTGGTGTTACACAGCAAAATAAAACACTAAATCGCCACAATACACCAAAACACTTTTACTTTTACACTGGACGCGCGTTTCGCTAACCATGTTAGCATCATCAGCAGATGATTATAAACTAAAATACAATCTACAATTGGAGCGTTGATATACTCGCTCAGTGGGCACAGAGTGGGCGTGGCAAGATCTAGCCAACCGAGTCAGAACCCACCGAGCGTAACAGTTAGATTTCCGCCACTAGAGTAGTAGGAACAAAGAACTTGAAGGAATTGGACCGTTGTCTCCGTTCATACTATCTTTACATTTATTAATTCTGATGCTTTCATATGCATCTAATTGCCTGTAATTTGAGACTTGTTTATGTAATTTTAAGTTATTAAGATCTATACAATATTCTTTATCAACAATATGTTCGGCAACGCAAGATTTATCAGGTCTACCATATCTTATCTGAGCTTAATGTTCTTTAAATCTAGTTAATATGGATCTTCTAGTTTGCCCAACATATTTCTGATTACAATCTTTACAAGAAATTTTATTTATGAAACCGACCTTTCCAGTAGAAGTGGTTTTATCCTTTAGATTACCTAATAATTGTTGTAATTTATTATTAGCACTATACACAAGTTTATAATTGACATTCTTAAAAATTCCTTTTAGACCACGGGATAACTGTCTATCAAACAGTATTGAAACATATTTTGACGTATCTTTCTCCACTTGAAAAGTCGAATTTTCAGAAATCATTAATCTGTACCTACGTTTTCTAATTATTTTATCAACTAATGAAGGAGAATATCCATTACACTCAGCTACATTCCTAATGTAATCTCTTTCTATTTCATATCTTTCGTTGGAAAGTGGAAAACTAAGTAATTTATGAACTAAGAAATTTAAACTAGCCATTTTATGTTCAATACTATGATATGATTCATTAGGAATATATATGCGTGTAGTGGTATTTTTCCTATAGATATCAAATTCCAGGCAATTATTAGTATTTCTAATAACTAATACATCTAGAAATGGTAATCTGTCGTTGTTCTCAATTTCATGTGTAAATTTAATGGAAGGAAAACGATTATTTAAATTAGAAATAAAATTATCTATAGTGTCTGAATGTGTGTGAAAAACAGCAAAAATATCATCCACATACCTAAACCATAGCCTCCACTTCAAACCTGCTCATGAATAAATTAGCCAAAAATGGAGACAATGGATTACCCATTGCTGTACTTTCCCGCTGTTCAAAAAAGTTGTTATTAAATTGAAAACAATTTTGTTTCATACAGAACGATGTAAGCTCAATATATTCACTCACAGTTTTGTTGTCGAGACCATTTGCGTTCAGTAATTCCTTCAAGTAGCCTAAAGTATGTGGAATTGGAACACTTGGGAACAACGAAGATACATCAAAGGAGACCAAAATTTCACCTTCGTGCAATGTTATATTTTTAATTTTGTTAATGAATTCAATATTATTTTTAACTGAGAAAGAAGGTTCATGATTAGGTAAATTTTCGAACTCCCTTGATAACCATTTTGCCAAATTATAAATTGGAGAACCTACAGCCGAAACAATTGGGCGCATAGACTTGTCCAGTTTAAGAATTTTTGGCAACGATTGGATACTTGCAATTTTCTCTTTAAAGAAAAATCAATAAGGTTGTTACATTCTTTTAAAGTTTTTTTAACATCTGTTACCATCTTAGACAAAGGATTCTTTTTCAATTTTATGTAAGGACCATTATCGATTAAGCTGTTAACCTTATCGTAATAGTCTTTTTTATCTAATATAACAACCTTATTTCCCTTATCAGCTTTTAGGTAGAAACAATCTTTGTTACGCAAACTCTTGACAAAAAGCGGTTGACAAAAAAAACTTCTATATCTACTGCTTTATGCTTTAAACAGAGTACTATACTGGGTATTCCGTCATTCCTTTGCGTACATATTCTCTAATAAATCGTCGACGACCTTGTCTGCCGCGGAGCGGAAACCCCACGAATATGTGGTACCTAGGTACGTATGTACGTAGCCCGAAGTATTTCGCCATTTTTTACGTCTCGGAAAAGTAAGGTTACCGGTCGATGCCTTTGGCTCCGCAGTTGACAATAGTTCTGTCGTTTTGTTTTTATTTCATTTTGTTTCATATTCATCTGAATGTCGGCCCTTTGTTGTTTATACGCTTATGCCGTTGATAAATATGTAGGCATTCGACTTATGTTACTTTTATTTGCGTATGTAACTTGACCTTAGTAATTTCTGTCTAGTCTCTTTCAAAAATAGATGATAAGTTATAATTATTTAATAACCAAAATATCAGATACACTACTTAAGTCAAATTGACGTGTTCTAATAATTTTTGATAAATTGTAAATAAATGCGAAAATGCAAAAAAAATTACATGTTCGGACAAACAAAAATTTATTAAAAACCTTTATTTTAATTAACTGAATTATTTACATTTAAGAAATACATTAAAAATATATTAAAATCTAACATTTCTAATGAGTATTTAAAAGGTTTAGTTTTTATAAACATTGAAATAAATTGTAGGCCAATAAATAAACAAGAAGATTGCACAATATCAATATGTGAGAGAAAAGAGGACAGTACGATCAAAAAGAGGACAGTCGCTGTGATTAAGTCCCCCTCCCTACTACAATCTACAAAATAATTTCTAATTAAATCAATTATTATGAATCAATAATCACATAACTATGAAAGATGCCTATAAATTATATACAGGGTGGTCCGAACTGTATTCCGAAAACTTCGGCTTCATATTCTGCAGATAATAATAAGTAAAAAAACTTCGTATAAAAATTATATGTCCTAAAATGCTTAGTTTCGGAGATACAGGGTGTAGAAGTTTTATATTTATTTCGAATTTTTTCAAATAATTTCTGAGGTAACGTCAATATTTGGATGAAAATTGTTGTCTGGGTGTTTTTTCTTCTTTTTCTTCTTTTAGAAGGCGTATCGCCTGTTTAGTTCCGGTTTGCTCCTCGTCTAAGCAACTCTTGCGAGGTTGACTGCCAACTGTCTTGCCAACGTTTAGGTGGTCGTCCAGTAGGTCTTCTGCCATGGGGTACGTTGTTGCGAATTATTATGGTCATTCTGTCGGGGCCCATTCTATTGACATGCTGGTTTCATTCTCTTCTTCTCTGCCTTATCCATCTGACAACGTCGTTTGTTTGGCACTTTTCTCTTACGTCTACATTTCTCTGTCTGTCCCTCAATGTGTATCCAGTTATCATTCTTAAGGTCTTCATTTTAGTAGTTCGTAGGATTCTCTTTGTTACTGATGTTTCAGCTCTGGGTTCCGCACCATATGTCATCACTGGTCGTATGCAGGTTTTGTATATTCTTGACTTACATTCTGTACTCAAATGTTTGTTTTTTCATATGGGATATTTAAGATGTCCTGATATTGCGGCAGCTTTATTGGCTTGTTTCCTTACTTCTTCTTCCAGGAATCCTAAGCTTGTAATTTTGCATCCGTGGTATTCGAATGACATTTTCTGATCAATAGTTTTGTTTTTTATTACCAATTTGCACCGTAGAGACTCCTTTGTAATGGTCATGCATTTGGTCTTATTTGTGGATATTTGCATGTTAAGTTTTTCTGCCTGTCTGTTAAAAGCTTGTAGCATTCTTTGGAGGTCATCCTCTGACACTGCAATAAGTACTGCGTCATCGGCATAGCATAATATGTTTACTTTATGCATTCCCATTCGATATCCTAATCCAGTATTTTTGAAGGTTTTTATTACTTGATCCATGATTGTGTTGAATAACAGAGGGCTGAGACTGTCGCCTTGGCGAATACCAGTTGTAGTTCGAAGATGTTGCGTTAAGGTAAAGTTTGTTCTTATTTGGGTTGTTGTGTTTGTGTTTAAGTCCTTGATAAGTGAGTTCTTTCGAGACATTACTGCTTTCCAAGTTGGTGATGATGTTTTTTAGTTGGACTCTA